TCTTGATATCTTGATATGTTGTAAACAGGCATCATGGGTGCTCTAAACAGCATGTATGTCTGGTGTATCATAAGCTCCAGCACAGGTTCAGAGGTGCAAAAAATTGTGGCCCCGTCTATAATTGAGGTATCCGTATCACCCGGAGCCAATAAAAGAAGAGATTCATAGATGACCAGGCCAACATTCAACCAAGGATAGAAACAAATTGTCATAATTGGTGGAACTTTTGTACTTTAACCAACACCCGATTTTTAACACGCCAAGTAACATCAGGAACCCTCGTGATTTAACTTTGCGAAAAATTACCAGAACAGCTTATGCTCAGTGCTTTAACTAACATGTAAAGCACTTTCTGTTGAGTATTTGTCGATATTAACGCCACCATCGACTTCTCGGGCACCCGAGGCAATGAGATCACCGATTTTCTGCTCATCTGACTCGGTATTCATCACCAGTAGTTCTATGTGAAGTGGCAGCAGACTCCCTATTGGTTTTATTTCCATGTTATACCTGAACTATGGTGTGAACTAGTTGTTATGTTACATTTGAACTTTAGTTTGCCGCTGGTGTGAAATAAACCTGAACTTTGTTACATCATGTGTGTTGCAGTATGGTTCAAGACCTACACGCCACAAAAAATCCTATCTTGATATCTTGATATGTTGTAAACAGGCATCATGGGTGCTCTAAACAGCATGTATGTCTGGTGTATCATAAGCTCCAGCACAGGTTCAGAGGTGCAAAAAATTGTGGCCCCGTCTATAATTGAGGTATCCGTATCACCCGGAGCCAATAAAAGAAGAGATTCATAGATGACCAGGCCAACATTCAACCAAGGATAGAAACAAATTGTCATAATTGGTGGAACTTTTGTACTTTAACCAACACCCGATTTTTAACACGCCAAGTAACATCAGGAACCCTCGTGATTTAACTTTGCGAAAAATTACCAGAACAGCTTATGCTCAGTGCTTTAACTAACATGTAAAGCACTTTCTGTTGAGTATTTGTCGATATTAACGCCACCATCGACTTCTCGGGCACCCGAGGCAATGAGATCACCGATTTTCTGCTCATCTGACTCGGTATTCATCACCAGTAGTTCTATGTGAAGTGGCAGCAGACTC